ATGTTGTACAGCTGAAAAAAAAGAGGAGGTCACCTTAAAGGGCATGAATATTTTATAAATGCCACTTAAAATAAAAGGGTAGTGAACATAAAGCAAGGAAAAAACTCTTTGGAAACTGTGATAACTTCTCATGGAACTCCCTGGAAACTGCGATAACTGAGGTACTTTGAAATAGACAAGGGGTTTGACAGGCTTAACCCAAACAATAATAGTTCTGACATGGATTGTTAAAAGTATTAAAAAAAACAAAAATAATCACTACACTATAGGAACTGCTTTGTCATGTCCATATATTTACTTATTGTGCACTACAATTGTTAAAAGCCATGGTAATTACCCATAAAATACCCTGTGCTCTGTGGATGGTGGTTTATCATTAATCTCAATAGTCTGTGTACAGTCTGAAGGTTCATTATTAAATAATAAACAGTGTTTAAAGCAGTAGTAAAGTTCGATTTGAATTGTATGTATGGGTACAATACCTACCTACATACCTTTTATAATAGGCCTCATTTATTTTTATACAGTATAGGCCTACCTATAATAGGCTTCATTTTAAATAGGACTGCTATCAGTCATTTTAAAATCTAGAAATCTTCATTGGAGTATAATTAATTTGAGGAAATGACAGCCCTCAAAATATTGCATATCTAGTGTGCATTATTAAATCAATTGTACCGGCTCCCCAGCTGTGAAGTTCATATCTTCAAACTACAGTATGCTGCTAGAACGGTATTCCATTCTCTCCTTGTTGCTTGGCTCACCACCAGACCTAATACTACCCAACCTAAAGTGTCTTGGAAACTCAATCCATTTTGGCTCCATTTATTTCCAGACCCAGCCGCTATTGAATTCCACATTGCTGATTACTTTCTCTGGCATGTAGTTTTCAGAACACTTTTCTTTCTTGGGATGCCTTTAAATGTTACCTTAGGAACCTTTTTATCTTAGAAATTTAAGTGGTGCAAAATGCAACCAGGGAGCATGAGCTGCAGGTTACCCAACAGGTTAGGGAAGTGGAGTGCCTTTTACATTTTAGATCCTTCTCCAACACACGAGGAAACATGGCTGGAAGCTCAAAAGGTGATCAAACAACTATGTGTTTTTTTTTTTTTTTTTTTAAGATTAGATTTTTTAGGAATCAAGCCTATTATGAGGAAGGCAAGCAGACAGGAAGCCTTTTGGCCAAAACTGTTAATGCACAACAAGTGGTAACTCCTATTTCTGCATTATGTACCTCTGATGGCACATTGCACAAATGCCCAGAGAGGATCATGACCGAACTGGTGTGTTTCTATGCTGATTTATACCAGCCTAAGGCACAGACCTCTCTGCCCAAGCTCCAGGATTTTCTAGACCAGGTTTATCACCCAAAACAAGTGCTCTCTGGACTCCCCTAGCAAGAAGGAGGAGATAGTACGTCACAAGTTAGCCTGCAGTTTCGTTTGTGTTCTTATCTTCTTGCTGCAGCCCTGTTCCTGATTCCTTCTCATGTGTTTGTGCTCATCTATGGGTGTTGTCTGCTGTCCTCTGGGTTTTATTTCCTTCCCTTCCATCACTTCCTGGCCCACCTCCTTGTCTGCCTGTCTATATAAGATGTGCTCAGACTAGACCACTTTGCCTGAGCAACTTCTTAGTTGCTGGAGTTCCCATATGTTCCTGCTGCGAATCCTATATTGTATTCTTGTGTACCGACCCCGGCTTCGTTCCCGACCTTGCTTGCCTATTGGATTCCCTTTGTCTGCTCCCATTATACTCTGCTCCCATGAGTGGTCTCCTCCACCTCAGCCGGGTGTACCTGGGGGCCGTGACCTGGTCCTAGCCTGCTGCAAGTCCATCCCCACCATCAGGGGCTCTGGTGAACAAGCAGGCTAGGGCTTAGACTCCGCACCCTGGGGAACCCCAAGTTGAGGATCAATAGAGCTCACTACCACAGGTGCTGACATAGTAACTGCCATTTCTTTCTTTCTCAAATGGCAAGGCTCTGGGGGAGGATGGCATTATCCCACAACTCCTCATCCAATGGATCAACACCTTGCTCCCACTGTTTTTTTAGCTTTACAAGGTGTCCTTCCAGATAGGATAGGAGTAGCATTTCATAACATCTGGAGATGAACCCCTTTCTGTTTTGCACTGAACATAGTGAAAAATAGGTGTGGGAAATAAAGACCAATCAGTTTTGCGGCCTTGAGCGCAAACAGCATGGTGCATTGCTCTGTTCCCTTAACACCAACCAAAGGCTCTTGCAGTTATATATTGTTCTTTGTGTCCACCATACACCTCTTAAACTCAATCATATGGGTACTCTGCAGTCTTCTCTATGTGCCAAGTGTGCTGCTGAGCAAGGTGACCTTGTTCACCTTATATAGCATTGCCCCAAGCTCCACTGTTACTGTCAAACATTGTTACTACCATTAATGTAGTTTTTCAAATAGATATCCCTGCTGAACCTATCCGTTGCATTTTGGGTATACTGAATACCCTCCCACTAACTGATTTAAGAAGGCAGCTATCAGTAGAGCTTTGTTTCAAGCATGTCGGCTTATCCTTCAACAGTGGAAATCCAATAGGGCTCTCACTTATAAAGAATGGATCTCACAACATAGGGGGTGCCTGGGAAAAATAAACAAACTCTGGGAGGACTGGCTGGCTGTCCCAGGCCTTGCACCTGCTGATTTAGTGCTAGATAGAATTTTGGACTGAAGCTATGGTTTACCCAATAAGGGTACTGATGAAATCTACTTTAAGAGTGAATATATTTTTGCCATTAATGTATTCTCCCTCTGCTCTTTGCAGTATTGATTATCCTATCAGAGTGGATTTTTAGAGAGGACCGCTGCTGCCTAGACCTGCTATATCTTCTGTATTTTATGATTACCTCGTAACACCATTACTGATGTGCACAAAGGTTGTGAGTATTTTGTTTATTTATTGGTTGTACCTCAGACTTTATTTCTGATTTAAAAAAGAAATGTACTGGCTCCATTTTGAACAAGACTCCACCTGCCATTTTAAAATCAAGAAATAAAGAGTGTCATCTATTCACAGAAAAAAAGTCCACAAAATAGTGCAGTACTTATGTGCGTATTATTAAAGCCCCCTATTATGTGCGTATTATTAAGTCACCCTATTTTGAACAGAAACTCTCACCGGCCATTTTAAAATCTAGAAATCCAAAGTGTCATTTATTCAAACAAAAAAGCCTCCAAAATATTGCAGAATCTAAGTGTGCTTAATTAAATCACTTGTACTAGACCCTATTTAAAACAGGACCCAACCAGTCATTATAGCAATAAGAAATCAACTTTAGGATAAATTAATATGCTGAAAGTCCCCAATATGTGTGATGTATTACATTATTTGCATTAGACCAGTCAGCTTCTGATTAAAAATAATCAGCATTATACTGTACTTATTTCATTGTAAAGATGCCTCAAAATATTGCAGCCAGAATGAGTACTGTCTATGAAAACAATCAGTACCTTTGTTAACAGAGCAATACCAGCCAGCTTTTCAAATCAATATTTTCTGGAAAAGGGGCCCCATAATGCTCCAGTAAGTACATACACAGTCATGAAACACTTATTGATCACTAGATCCCCACCCTCTTTTTTTTGTTTAAGCCTAACTGATAGAGGAAAAAAAATGAAAACCTGAAATAAAAAGCCCCCCCCCCAAAAAAAAATAAAAAAATAAAAATAAAACAGCAGAGGGGGGTACAGCAATGAGATATGATTGGTAATTTGTTGCTTAGGCAGAGTAGTTTGCTATATTTTTTTAATTGAAAAACTACTTGGCTTCAGGTTCACATCAACCATGGGTTTGACCCAAAACTAATTCATAATGGTGTCTTTGAGGCGTAGAGTTATGAGAACATCTCCTTATGTTCATAACAGTAACATTCTAATCCAAGATATTTAAAACTAAAGTGTACAGCAAATGGTGACCTCACCTAGACACAAATATATGAATAACAAAACAGCTTACCCTGGCCATAGGTGTCCCCAAGAGTCTTATATTTTCTGTAACATGGTTCATAAGGCTTAACAGGGTTGGATCCTCATATTCAACCTGTGATTTAGCAGCAAGGAAACTATTATATTGGCCACGGCAGCATTCAGGATGATCCGATTGTCAAAGGGCTTCCCTTAAAATGAAAGGTGAAATTCAAAATAAACAATGTTTTTAATAATAAAAAAAAAAAGACATTGAGCTCGAAGTTGCTCACTTGCTCACTGAAGTTTTGTTAAAAAATTGATATAACTCATAACTGCCACACAAAATGAGGTACCATTTGTAACCATTAGAAAATTACTTTTTTTAGTTTGCAGCAATTCCTACTTATTGTTTATAGAATATGATAACTCAAGGTGAAATTTATGGTTTCAGAGAGACCGTGTGCCTGAATGGAAGTGGTTACTGCTATTCTGTCTTTTTTAGGCTAGCATATTATGCTTTGGGAATTCTTTGCCATATATTAAAATGTATGTCCCCCCCAAATATCTTTTGTTCTCTGTGTAAGTTCACATATGTGTATTTTATAACTCATAGCCTCTATCATTTTCATGTACTTCTTTCATCTGAAGTACCTGGTTGATCCTGCCAGTCATCTTTCTGGCAGGATCAGAACACAAAGCACATGAGCTATTTTGTACTTGTGTGGTCAGTTTACATCTTTTGTCTGGCCTTTCAGAGGTACAGGACACGGTGCAGTTACACAGCATGCCTGTATTCAGTAGTCTGCTTAGCCACCACACCCCTGTCCAATCACACCTGCCTCTGGAACACACTCCCTCCCAATCACAGCCTGCTATATGCACACGCCCCCTGCTCAATCATGTTCAGAACATGTTAAATGTTCATTTGTATATATATATTGACTCTTCACCTGCAATTCAAACCATTTTCTTGTTTTCATTTATTGAAAATCAAATAAAAACTATTGAAAAAAAGAATACCATCTTACCTCCATAGGATCTAAAGGTTTGCACTAAGCATTCAGCTTCTTCATTAATCTTGTCTTCTATTCCTTTCTTCCCCATTCCATAATCTCGTAGAGTTGATAGAGTGAATCTTCTCATTGCCTTCCAGCTTTCGCCATTGGAAAATACGATGCCTGATAAAATAAGTTGTCTATTTAAAGTGTTACTAAACCAAGGACCCTGCATTCACTATATCTGGTCTCCCACAGTACACAAGACATGGAAATGCAATTATTTTAGTAAATACAAACTGCTAAAGACTTTTTCTCATCAGCTGTATATAGCAGTCTTGTGACTTCTATCAGTATCCAGCTGAGCACTGGTTAATAGTGTAGGAGCAGTTTTCCTTCTACTCTGACTGTCCTATAAGGCTGCATAACCCCTGACCCTCTATCTGGACAGCACTGATTGACCCTGTGCTGATCACATGCACCCTCCCAAAGGAAAAAAAAGACTCTCTAGCAATACACACCAAACAGAGCATATGCAGACTGACTCCTAGAGTTTCTGTATCAGCAGGTGGATTGGGGACAATAGAAGAAGGGGAGGATAAGAGAAGAAAGGATCAAACAGCGTTTTTACACAATGCAGAAGATTAACTCCTTAGGATCCACAGTGAGTATAACAAGCATGCTTTACTGCATATATAGACTGATTTGATTGATGTGGGTTTTTTAACACTTTAACGTTAAATAGAGTTCTGAGCTAATATAAAACAAACCAAAACCTGTAAAGCTATAAATACAGATGAAAAAAACACCACGGGTTATAGTTATCAATAATATTGCCCAAAAAGTTCCTTGGTGAACATTTATCCAATGTACAGTATCAAGCCAAAGTAAAGTAAACACCTAATATTTATCAGTGAATATATTGGTGTACCAATAGTGTCTAAATAACCCCGAAACGCCAAAATAATACACTTTCTCCCCCGAAAGTCCAAACTATACAGTCCAAGTCTTTTAGCATCGAAATGTGCAAATGTCCTAAAAACCGTGAAAATGATTATTTTCTTCTTTAATAGTCTTCCTCCAAAGTGTAAGAATTCTTCTAATTTCAATAAACCTCAAAAGAAAAAATTACATTTGCACATAGTGCATGGAGATGAACCATATTCTGAGTGACGGAGACACATATGTAAAAATTGGAAATATTCCCACTAAAAAGTTCAAAAAACAATTTAGTAAAATAATTGTGGAGGCAAAAGATTTAAAAATGAATAATGAGAAAGAAGCAAAATATTTGATCCCCTTTTAGTTGTAAGGTCCCAATATTCTACTACTTGCCGAAGAGCCACAAAAGTTTAGATCGGCCCCCAGTTTAGCAATCATTTTTATGGCTAAATGGGAGCACACTGAGATTTTCGGCAAAGAATGGAAATTAGTTAAAAGCATGGAAAAGGTATATCAACGATATGCTGGTTTTCTGGGAGGATGACATGGAATTGTTACAAATGTTTTTGAAACATGTGGAAAATAATCAATATGGATTGGGTTTCTCACAAACTATAGATATGAAATCAGTTAATTTTCTACATTTGTACATTTTTCAAGAAGAGGGCAAATTATATACCAAAATATACGTTAAGACTACTGATCGGAATGGATACTTTCCTATCTCCAGTTGTCATCACCCACAGTGGATCCAAGGAGTGCCGAAAGGACAATTTTGGTTGTATTAAACGAAATTGCTCAAGGCTTATAGATTACATTGAACAATCTGAGGTGATTAAACAAAGAATTATTAAAAAGGGCTATGATCCAGTGAGGTTAGAACTATTAAGATTTGATATCAGTAGGGAGTATATAGGAGATGGTAAGAAGGCAAAGGCTAATAGGGTTAGACAAATCAAGGAAGGGAAATTTGAGTTTGCTTTTATCTCCAATTTTAATTGCCAGTATAGAGCTATGGAAATGATTATTAACAAATATTGGACTATAGTGAAAGAAGATAGAATTTTGGGCCCCATGTTGCCTAATAAACCATTTACAGAAAGGCTAAGAACTTACGTAACAAATTGGTTAAAAGTATCATCTCTCCTCTGAAGAGAAATAAAAATAACATGTTCAACCTTAGAGGTTTTTTTCCATGTAAGAAATGCAATATTTGCAAAACAACAAAGATAGGACTTAGAAAAATTGAAAGTTTTAAGTCACAGGTGACCATAAGGAAATATCAGATTAATCAATTTATAACATGCACTACTCTCTGTTACCTATCTGTTGGAATGTCCATGTAAATTCAATATGTGGGGTGGACAACCAGATCATTGTTCAAAAGGTTAAGAGAACGTGTCTCAAATATTATGAAAGGAAAGAAGGACCACAGTCTGTCCAGGCACTTCAGAGATTTCCACAAATGTGATCCATCAGTTTTCACATTTTGTGGGACTGATAGGGTAGAGGAACACTGGAGAGGTAGCAATAAAACCAGAGAGGTCTCTCAGAATTAAACTTTTTGGATTTTTGAACTAGACACGATGAAACCCAAGGACCTGAGTGTAGAGTTAGATTTTAACCGTTTTATTTCAGGTAAGTATAGGAGTTAGAGTGTTACTATCCCCTTTCCATTCTATTTTTACTACATCATTTTGGGTAGGGGGCCGAATATCTGTTTTATTTTATGTAGTTCATCATTAGAAGATTGTATAGTTAATTTATGATAATCCATGGTACAATTGTCTGCACAGGGCTATATTTCCGACTCTGATTGAAGGAATTTATTTTAGTGGCCGCACATAGTTTATTCCATGTGATTTTATACTGATATTTTATAAAGGATAATATAGTCAATATATGTATTTGCTCCCCTTAGGGCTCATTGTTATTGTGAAAGGAGAAAGTTTTTTATATGGGATAATATAGTCATTATTTAGTTTTTTTTTTCCCCTTGATAATCTTGCACATGCCATTTTGACACAATTAAGCCCAAAAGGTTTTTAATATGGTCATATTTAGGTTTAATCACACTTTGTTCCTGTCCTTATAATGTGTTTTCATATTTCAATTGCAATCTGATCCTGTTGTGAGACGAGCCGTCTGCTCTTGATTATCCCTTTGATTATCCCCTTGGTTGTTAAGCCGGCCCCTTCTGCCGTGCAGGTCTCCTATAAAATGGCCGATTGCTGGACTTTTCACAGACTTGACAAAGCGCATGCGCGCGAAACATGTTGTCCCAGCAACCGGCCTCTTCCTTCTAAAGCTGCGGCTCCAGCAAGAGTTCCCCCCCTCTGTCTCTCCACATCGTGGTGACGTCATCCAGGACGCTGGGACGTCGGGTAAACGTGGTCCCTGCACTGACAGGCATTCTACTCCACTGCTTCCCTCTGAGCGGACGGGCCGTCCATCTTGGAACCTGGCTTCCTAAAGCCACAGGCTGGTTATTTATTATTGTTTTACCATATGACTTATTAAAGACACACCTCCATACAAGGTGTATTATTTCTATCACAAAACTACACAGCGCCTGGCTCCTGTTCATTCATTCAGTCATTATTTAGTCACTACATTTATTTGCTCCCCCTAGAGCTCATTATTATTGTGGGAAGAGAAAGTTTTAAAGTCTTTATATTCTCTTAGGGGCCACTCATTGGATTTGAGGGGAGAACTCTAGGGTGGCTTGGTTGATAGGGGATTTTATGCCACAAATTATTAATTGCATAATACACTGATATCCACCTTTATTATGAGGCTAATATCATAGGTGAAATGGCCTCTGTGTACTCACACCAGCAATAATTCAGCTGGTGGGGTATGTGTTTATATACTGCCCTAAAGTATTTAAATTTCCTTTATGAGCTATTGACTATATGAGGTATAAAAATATAGTTTTAGTCATATATTTTATGTATATATATATATATATATATATATATATATATATATATATATATATATTATTGACATAGCAAGTCATATATTTACAGAGTCAGCCATATATATTTTATGCACATATTTTATTCACATAATTTTTCCATTCAGTCTTAGAAAAGGCATAATACAGGTATTTAATTTTAGAATAGTATTGATTTTATTTATTCGCAAGATATATTCAGCCATTAACACAGAAAAATAATAATATCTTTCCATTCATTGGAGCAGATCCACTATTTTACCACTAGACGGTAGTGTGCCGAGTGTATACACATTAGGTTATGATTATATGTGTAGAATCCGTATGTTATAGCCTGTTAGAGATATAGTTACATTACATCTCTTTGTAATCACATTGCCATGTTCTATATTGTCAATCAATCATCAATCATCATTAATAATCAATAAAAAATGCAGTGCAGCAATAAACATAAATATAGTGCTAAAATATTAAACGTGCATATATAAATAGTGAAAACAGAAACTGTGCCAGTGACAATCAATATGTGCTTCACCAAATATCTTACCAATGCATACACATAGGTGTCCCATAGAACTGCACATAACCAGGGCTAAAATTGAATTGTGCACACAAATACCAAATAAAATGTCCTTAATAGTGGACTGTCCCTTTAAATCTAAATATCTTCACGTGAACTTGTGTGGTATATCGCCGATAGATTGTGATCCAAATACAACAGCAGCGAGTGTCTTATAAATATTGTCTCAAAAAATGGTGAACCGTCCCTTTAAATCCGCTGTACTTCAAGTGGACCAGTGTAAACACACTATTGCATAAATGTATATGGTGCTCCTGTGTCACCCCTTAGTGCTCATCCACCTCTGACACTCTATTGCGCTCACACGTAATGACAGGTCAAACTGCAATTTTCCCTTTAACCCGGGAGGGTATACTGGTACACAGATCTTCACCACCGTTAGCCAGCACTTTAAAATATCTCCAGATCGCTTCACATCCATGTGAAAAGAATGCTCAATATATTATAGTATTGCCAATAAAAACAGCCTAAATTTAAATAATCTAGTAAACTCACATTTAAAAGTGTCCTCCCGGGAAACTACAGGGTTAAATCTCACAATACAGTGTATTCTGTAAGCAATGTGCAGAAATCCCTTTTCCAAAATGGCGGCACGTGCACTTCCGCTTTGCTGTCTGACGTCATCTGCGTACCCTGTAGTACTTGGCGCTATATTTCAAATTTCAGTGTTTTTGGTTTGCTTATATTATTATTTAATGTTATTTTTAATTTTATTATTTATTATATTATTATTTTTTATGATTATTTATTATATTATAATTTATGATTTCGTATTTCAAATTTTATCATACCCGGGATGTTTACTAGACTCTTGTTCGGACAGATTTCAGTGAGTTATTCCTAAAAATTACAATAAAAAAAACAACAAATTTCCATGCAAAAAAATGTACCACTTTCAGCACAGAAATATGGACATAATCAGACCGCTAGGGAGGTTAAAAGTGGAACTGATTAAAGCTTTTTCCAAGTTTAAATAGGGTAAGAGTAAGGAAGACAGTTATTTAGAAGTGGTCACAAGATGGAATTTTTGCACGATTTGTCACGAGTTTGGAAGTGTGTTTTGTGAAACATATCACATGTTGGGAATAATGCATTATGTGCGAATATAATTTTTTATTTTGAGGTTTATTGAAATAAGAAGAATTCTTACACTTTGGAGGAAGACTATTAAAGAAGAAAATTATCATATTCACGGTTTTTAGGACTTTGCACATTTAGACGCTAAAAGACTTAAACGCTTAAGATTTGCCCAAGATTCCCACAGTACAAATAACATTCCCTGACATCTGGTAACATCTGTTCTTCAATAGTAAAGGTCAAAGTTTCAGGTCCCAATCTGGAATCTGACCTGTAGGCAGATTGTAAAAATGACTGTGCTACCCAACCTAACCTAAGCTGTTGTCACATGATATTAGCCCTCCTATTCCTTCTCTACTGAAATGTTTTCCAATTGTATTGTCTCCCTTTATATCGTAAAGCGCTGCGCAAACTGTTGGCCCTGTATAAATCCTTTATTATAATAATGATAGCTACTGTATTGAAAATGCAAATAGTGCCGAAAAATATACACAGTGGAGTTGACTTACTAAATGCAAATGAACTGTTCAGTTTTCAAGAGAAGTTGCATTTCCCAAAGGAATTTTCCCCAGAGCTTAGCAAATTATGTGAAAAATGCTGTTTTTATTTTCTTGTATGTGATTGAGTATGTTTTGCAAAATGAAATTTCACCACGCTCACTAAGCTCTAGGGAAAATTCTCTTGAATGGTATAACTTCCCTTGCAAAGTGAAGAACCTATTTGCCTTAAGTAAATCAAACCAAGTGAACCAAATACAGACCTTTTATACATAAACATCTAGCAAAAGTTGATGCTACAAAGTGCAAAAAACTTGCTATCATAAAACAATTTTGCAAAGTGCATAAAATAAATCATCAAATGTTACATCAGGGACTCGTAAAACATAATAGCCCTATTCTAATGTGGTAAACATTATCTGTTCACAGCGGGGAGTAATTTGTGGATTTCCCCTTAAAGTGGTTGTAAACATGTCATGGAATATAAACAAAGCATATTCCTCTATAATGTGTACTTGTCTCAATTAAGAGCACTAAGGGGTTTGGCTTATTAAAACTGGAGAATGCAAAATCTGGTGCAGCTGTGCATTGTATCCAATCAGTTTCTAACTTCAGCTTGTTAAACTTTATTAAAAAAAAAAAAAAAAAAATAAAACCTTTTTCTACTGCTACAGTGTAACAAGACAGAAAAATTTGCAATGTTTTGATCTAATCCCCAAAGAGAAAAATGGTGGAAGAAAAAATATATATGTAATAACAATAATCAAACTGTGCTGGATCTATGCCCTTGTAGCGGTACCACCGTAAGGGCCGCTGTTTAATAATGATGTTGATAAGAGTTCTCCCTCACTGGTGCATAGGCTACAACACACCAAAGCATTGTTCAGGCACATTGATACATGAAGCAGTCTAGGGGCATGTATTTTTGTGATTTATTACTAAAGAACTTAAAAACTTAAGAGGGTATAGGGTATCGGATACTACAGATTGTAAAGTTTACCAAGAGGACACTCCTCAGAAACAGTCGAGTACTGTCAGATACTTTTTTTTTATTTACACTGACATTCAAATGTTTAGGACAAGCTTTCAGGGTGTATCCTCTTCTTTAAGGTCCAAGCAGCACTAACACCTTATTACTATCCTCAGAAACAGATCTTCTGCTAAACTTCAGAGTAAAATCCCTCAGGAGTAGAACTGCTTGGCCCAGCTATCCCAATATTACATAGCCACCAGGATCTTCTAACAAAGTCAGTACTTACAAGGCCAGAGGGAAGCTGTGCCCATTCAGTCTCCTCCAGATACCTTCCAGTGAGGCTCTGTGGACTGGATCCTTTACTCATATGTCTATAAACTCTTGAAAATGCCTATAGTGTGCATGGACACCTAGGCAAATATGGAGGGGCATTAACAGGCAGAGAAAGGTAAAAGCTCAAAACAGCTCAAACGCCTATAGGAGCAGCTTCTTTGAAATGCAGTGTGCATGGGCCCTTAAGATGAAGTCTCAGGGTTTGGAGTTTCCTTTAGGTGTAGGCCCCCCAGTTCTGCCACAGCTCAGACCATGGTGAAAAAACAACTTGACTCAGTAGAACTGCTTGTGGGGGTAGTCACTTAAAAAAAAACAACTGGTGGAATCCCTTCAAGAGGAAGCCCTGCTGTTCTAAAATTCAGACTATTTATGTGCCCTCTCCTACTGGGCCCACCTCCCTAGGAATTGGCTGCAGCACCATAAATGTTCATGCTGCCCATTTGACTTGCCCAATGTCATATGTTCTAGAAGCCTCTAGAAGGCAGGAAAGAGCAATCAAACCTACAGTCTGTGAGATCCAGAACAGCCCAAAGAAATTACCAGCTGCTCCAATGATTACAGAAGGGCCAAAAAAAGAAAATACATTTGCCAATCATCCTAGCATGCTATCTATAAAAGTTCTACACACTGATACCCAGTATCAGCATGCACCACCCACACTTTAGCCTGGATCACATCACCTGGATCTCCACATAGTTTCCTTATAATGATGATCAATTGAAATGATAAAGACTAGACTAAGGGGATAAAAGGCCAGAAAAACATAAATGGATTCTAGAAATAAACATCTCATGCTTTGTTGAGTTCTGATTTCACTATATGGAGGAGAGGTGCTGTGAAATTAAATACAGACACTGAAGGAGACACCCTAGCAGCCACTCCAGGCCATTCAAATGGCAGGCATGTGCAATCTCTTTCTTTCATGTACATAGTCTGAACATCCTGAAGTGGCTACTAGGCGACACACAATTGTAGTGTTCAGTCCATCCCACTAATAATAGGATGGAGGGTGGTGGGTTGAAGGGCCTGCTGTTTTTGTAGAAGTCTCCCCATAGCTGCATGTGTAACGAAGCTATGGAATAGCATAGGGGGCAACTTCAGCCAAAACATTTCTGTGTTCTAAGAAACGTTAGGCAGGGTTAGGTCTCCTGACAACTATTTACTTCTCCCACAATTACAGACCATTAAAAATTCAAGCTACAACTGCCACTGGTCTGTGAGTTCCAATGTACTCAGTACAATATAATAATAATGACAGTTTTACATTGCTTGAGAACAAGATATTCTAAGACAAAATTCTTTTATAAAGAAACCCAGAAAGATTTACCGTGATCCTTTTGGATCTTATAAAATAATGGTGTTTTTGGTCTGTCAGCAAATTCATCTGCATAGTTGACTAGAGCTTCTTTTACAGCATCATATCCACACAGGATAACCATCTTAGACATTCCTAAATGGATGGTGTATACCGGACCCATACTGCTTGGACAACTGCAAGGACATCAGAGAATAAGAAATTGGGTTAATCAAACTAAACAAATAAACTGTCAGTAAATGGCAAACATACACATATGGGGATTTTATTTTTTGAGAGCTTTAGCAGTTTATTTAGAGTTTCTTTTAGGTAAAACTACTGAACATCACACAGTTTTCTAAACACTAACACGTTCCTAAATAGCATTATAAAGTTGCTGATTAGGTAACTTGTAGCTTCCTTAATGTAGGTATTTACTGCATAAGACACATACTATGCCTCTTCTGTAACAAAGGATTCCTACATGCCTGTTCACATTCTACCTGACAATGTTTGCTAAGCTGTACGTGTGCAGATCAGTGCAAACGTTCGGCATATGCTAGGAAGATTGCACTCAAACGCAAAGTTATGTCATCCTGGCACAGCCAACCAAGATGGGAGAAGATCTCAAACCTGGAATAAGACTAGGTGAAGATGTTTGCACAAGGGAAGGAGCCCAACAAAAGACATTTCTTGTGGGGAATATAGTAAAACTTCAAAGTAAATATGTACAGTTGCAAGAAAAGTATGTGAACCCCTTGGGATTACGTGGAAGATTTTTGCATGAATTGGGCATAAAATGTGCTCTGAAGGCCCAACACAAAGAATTTCTGTGCTGGGGAATATAGTAAAACTTCAAAGTAAATAACAGTTGCAACTCACAACAATAGAAGAACACAGTCTGCTGAACATGAATTGGGCATAAAATGTGCTCTGAACGTCTTCTAACACAACATTAGATTTGCCATGGGTTGTTGCCATTTGCACATAACATGTAAACATTCACAGTGCAGGGAGGAAAAAGTATGTGAGGCCCTAGCTTAATGACTTCTCCCAGAGCTAATTGGAGCCAGGAGTGAGCCAACCTTGACTCCAATCAGTGTGATGATATTGGATGTGTTGCTGACAGCTGTCCTGCCCTTAAAAAACACACACCTGTTTTGGTTTTACTGGTTTCAAGAAGCACTGTCTGATGTGAACCATGTGAACCAATGCTCGCAGAAAAGAGCTCTCAGAAGACCTACGATCAAGAATTGTTGACTTGCATGAAGCTGGAAAGGGTTACAAAAGTATCTCCAAAAGCCCTGATGTTCATGTGTCCACGGTAAGACAGACTGTCTACAAATGGAGGAGTTTAGCACTGTTGCTACTCTCCCTAGGCGTGGTCGTCCTGTAAAAATGACTGCAAGAGCACAGCGCAGAATGCTGCATGAGGTAAAGAAGAATCCCAGAGTGTCAGCTAAAGACCTACAGAAATCTCTGGCACATGCTAACATTTTTGTTGACACATCTACAATAAGGAAAACATTAAACAAGAATGGAGTACATGGGAGGACACCACGGAGGAAGCCATTGCTGTCCAAAAAGAATATTGCAGCACGTTTGAAGTTTGCAAAAGAGCACCTGGATGTTCCACAGCACTACTGCCAAAATATACTGTAGACAGATGAAACCAAGATTGAGTTGTCGGGAAGAACACACAACACTATGTGTGGAGAAAAAAAGGCACAGCACACCAACATCAAAACCTCATCCCCACTGTGAAACATGGCGGAGGGAGCATCATGGTTTGGGGCTGCTTTGCTGCCTCAGGGCCTGGACAGATTGTTGTCATTGATGGGAAAATGAATTCCAGAGTTTATCAAGACATTTTGCAGGAAAACGTACAACCATCTGTCCGCCAAGTGAAGCTCCGCAGAGGATGGGTGATGCAACAGGACAATGACCCAAAGCATACAAGTAATTCAACAAAACAATGGCTGCAACAGCACAGAATACGCCTTCTGGAGTGGCCCAGTCAGAGTCCTGACCTCAACCCGATTGAAATGCTGTGGCATGACCTTAAGAGAGCGATTCACACCACACATCCCAAGAATATTGCTACACTGAAACAGTTTTGTGAAGAGGAGTGGTCCAAAATGACTCCAGATCGTTGTGCAGGTCTGATCTGCAACTACAGGAAACGTTTGGTTGAGGTTATTGCTGCCAAAGGAGGGTCAACAGTTATTAAGTCCAAAGGTTCACATACTTTTTCCTCCCTGCACTGTGAATGTTTACATGTTATGTGCAATTAAACCATGGCAACATCTAATGTTTGTGTAGTATTATGTTCAGCAGACTGTGTTCTTCTATTGTTGTGACTTAGATGACGTTCAGAGCACATTTTATGCCCAATTCATGCAAAACTCCACGTAATCCCAAGGGGTTCACATACTTTTTCTTGCAACTGTATGTCATTTTAACTTTCTAAATTTAGGCCTAAACTCAGACACCACCAGAGGCCTAACATTTATTTAATAGGAAGAAAGCATCTTTTGTCCTTTTCATTGCATTTGAATCACTTTGTCATTGGGGCCTGAGTATCCCTGATGTCATGGTTAAGTCCTGACAACTGGCATTCGACTTTCCAATCAGACCCTCTAAGTGACCAACATGAGCACTGTCATTGGGCAGGGGGCATGAAAAGACAGGAATATTTGGCCTGCTGCCCTAAGATAAAGGGAATTTTAGGTGGTATTTGGACAGACTATATATGGAGACTAGAAGGTAACAGCGAGGAGGAACTTAAAAACTCCCTAAGTGGTTGAATTGTAGAGCATCTGGAGGCATGGGTGTAGAAGTGTTCACCCCTCCTGAAGATATCTCAGCCAAGAGCAAAAAGTCTAAACCAGAACTTGTAGACCATATGATTACAACATCAGTTACGTCTCTAATGGCAGCTGTTCCAGAAATCTGGCCTAAACACCATACATAGGAAAGGCAAAAGGGAAGGGATAAAGAACACAGGGTAACAAATGAACATTTGAAAATTGCACAAGGTGTACATGTAATTTTACAATCAATGCATACCTTTTAAAGGCACTAGTTTTTATGAGCATTCTGAAGTAAAATGTTTATTTGTCCAAAGAGTTAGTTATGCCTGCTTTGGCATACCATTCAGTGTATTTGAAAGAATTCATAAAAGACATCAGCTCTGATATTGCAGGGGGTGCTCCATGAACTAACGCTTGGTGGGAGTGTTGTTCTGTATCTCTGCATCTAATGTAGTTCTGATCTCTGCATCCCTATACATAAGCAAATTTGAGATCTTCATATCTGTAACATTTGGGGCTGACAAAACTGTCTATGTTTTTAGGATATTTTTATGAGCAGTTAATAAACAGATATGCATTCACTTAGGAAGCTTTCCACACAGTCAAGGGGGTTGCTGAACAGATATGTATATCCTTATTGTAGCTAAGTAGTAGCAGAAGTGGATCTTTGAAAATAATTATGCAGGTCACACCAAAAATAAAATTTATAACTTGATACCAAAAAGTGGAGATACATGGGCAATGCCAAATGCAATGGGATAAGGAAAGTCTATGGAGGTCACAAAGATGGTGCATGGAAAAAATAGAGGCGGGTGGGTCGAATTGACAAGTAAAAAGTGGGGCATTCATATGTAAATATCGACTGCATTCATATGTATATAATGCCCCCCCTGTGTGTGCGCCTGCATGTGTGTGTGTGGTGAGTAGATGTAAGTCACCTATATTGCAGGCTATCCATTTCAATTGGCTGTTCTATGTGCTAGAAATGTGAAAAAAAAGTCCTTTTTCAAAATTACACCGAACCACAGCACCGTGAATTTTGGTGCATGTAGAAACGCACACGTCAGCAGATATGTGAGGGTGTCATTAACAGTTGATGGCACTGCTGTGTATCTGCTAAAGGGCATTTTCTGTGATGTCAAATTTTGCATGTGATGTGAACATAGGCTAAATGACTTAATTACATTGGTGGTCAGTGTATATCTTATGATTACATTGGAGCTTGATGTAGAATCCTTTAATTCACACTAGTGGTCAGTGTGAATCCCTCCTCACATTTGTGGTCACTGTGAATGGTCCTATTTCATTAGTGGTAAGTGTAAATCCCCTTTACATTGGTGGCCACTGTAAAAACTCCTCTTTATATTGATAATCGGTAAAAAAAATCGTAACTTGCATTTCTGGTCAGTGTCGAATCTTCCTTTACATTGGTAGTCCATGTAGAGGGCTAACTTAAATTGGTTGCCAGTTTAAATTCCTCCTTATATTGGTGGCCAGTGTAGACATGTATTGGTGTAAAAATTATTATTATTATTATTATTATACAGTATTTATATAGCGCCAAAGGATATGCTCAGCGCTGTACAGTAGCAAGGGGGACATAACATGAGACAAGACAGTAACAATACACTACACAAGGGGTTCGAGGGCCCTGCTCTTTCGAGCTTACAATCTAGGAGGGAGGGGAAGGTGGCACAGGGGGAGATGGCTGTGGGAGATGGAGTGGTGGGTGGAGTGGAGGAGGTTAGTTGTTAGGTGAGGTCGGGTGTTAGGTGAGGTTGGGGTAGGCTTCCCTGAAGAGGAGGGTTTTCAGGGTGCGCCTGAAGGTAGGAGGGTAGGTGACAGTCTGATGGATTGGGGTAGAGAGTTCCAGAGGATGGGGGAAGTCCTGGAGAGGTCCTGCAGTCGGGCGTGGGAGGAGGAGAAGACCAGGGAGCTAGAGAGCAGGAGGTCCTGTGAGGAGCGGAGGGCACGAGTAGGGTAGTATCTAGGTATCAGGTCAGTTATGTAGTTCGGGCAGCATTGTGAATGGCCTTGTAGGTCAGGGTTAGCAGCTTGAACTTGATGCGTTGGGCAAGCGGAAGCCAATGAAGGGATTGGCAGAGGGGGGAGGCAGATGTGGAGCGCTTGGTGAGGTGGATGAGTCTGGCCGCTGAGTTTAGGATCGACTGGAGTGGGGATAGCATTCGTTTGGGTAGGCCAGTGAGAAGGGAGTTGCAATAGTCCAGGCGTGAGATGATGAGGGAGTGTACGAGTTGTTTGGTGGTGTCTGGGGTGAGGAATGTGCGTATCTTGGAGATGTTGCGGAGGTGGAGCCTGCAAGATCTAGATAGCAGTTGGATGTGGGGTAGGAAGGAGAGGTGGGAGTCCAGGGTGACACCCAGGA